ATGGTCTCTACTGGCCTGTGGGCTTGGAAGGGAAGGTTTACCCGCCCTCTGCTCCTGGATCTAAGACTTTCATACTTGGGCTTAACTACATCCCCAGCTTCCTGGGTCTCCAGATTGCTGACTTCCCTTGCAGACCTCGGGACCTGCCGGCCTCCTGCATGTGTCAGTCTTTCCAGTAACTCTCTCCTGTATGTTTATACATCTTACTAGTTTGGTTTTTCTAGAGAAGCTTGAAACCCACACATACAGTTTTTTGAAAGGATCTCATCACCCGGTTAGTATCAAAGGAGAGAGGAGGACTGGACTGATCTCACGGAGTGTATTCTGGAGAACACTGCACAAAGGCTTGTTCCTAGTCGGTGTCTGGCTCCCACATCATTAGCTGTTCTTTTTGGTGGTTGATACAGTTAGGACTACATTTTGTAGTTTGGAGATGTCGTTCATCAGCAGAACACTCGCAAAGCACGCACGAGACCCTGGCTCCAGGCCTCAGAAGTGCACGTGCACACACACACACAATGTGTTTTAGGCTCAGCACTTTTTATTTTTGTTCTCTTGTTATTGAAAGAGATATGTTAAAACGTGCAGTTAGAATTGCAGATTCGGATCTCTTTCTTTTAGTCTGTCAATTTTTGCTTTACATATTTTGCAGTTATTTGCATCATAACTAAAGACTGATTTTGTGACGTCTTCTGTTGAACTGTTGCCCCTTTTTTTTTTCTGATGCTGGAAATTAAACCCACAGCCTTACATATGCTAGGCACGTGCTCTACCACTGAGCCCGTCCCCGGCCCCTTCTTGCTTTGAAGTCTGTTTTGATTGTAACAGCACTAAGCCACCTTTCTTTTGGTTGATGGTCACACAGTATACCTTCTTCTCTTTCCTTGTTTCTTTCCTCCCTCTCTCCTTCCTTCCTTCCCTCTTCCCTTTCTTTCTTTTCTTTCCTCTCCTTCCCTGTCCTTCACTTCCCTTCATGACCAGGTCTCACTGCGTTGCCCAGACTGGTCTGAAACTCCACAGCTCAAGTGACCCTCCCGTCTCAGCCTCTTGAGAGCTGAGACGTGGCAGAATTCAGATCAGAGAGACCAGCAGGGAAGCAGGAGGATTTCATCTCAAGGTTCTGGGTGCACACTGGCTCATCTTGGCCTGGTGATGTCCAGCAATGGCTGAGCGCTGGACAGAGGACGGGCTCTGATTCCTCTACGTTTGGTCAGGGGGGTGGGCCTGCAGCACGGAACTTGTGGGCAGGCAAAGGAGGAAAAGGGAGTTTGACAAACTGCGACGAGTTTTGTACCTTGGTGGCTCTGCTCGGGTATAACAGAATGTTATGGGAATAGAAAGTGATAAAATTTTAGTGATAAAAGCTACTGCTTTTATCTGTGTTGGAACACAGAACAACAACTGTAGGGATGGGAAAGTTGGGGAAATTGACTTTTTCTTTTTAAATCCTGCTTTAAGACCACAGATCTATCACTCTGTCCAGCATCATTTTCCATTTTAAATTCACACCTTTCTGAATCCTTAAAGTGTCTTGAAAAATAGCAGTTTTTTAAAAAAAAATCTAGTCTGGTACTCTTGCCTTATTTGTTTGTTTAGTTTATTTATTTTTCTGACACTAGTACTGGGGATTGAACTCAAGGCCTCACAGTGAGTTACATCCCAGCCTTTTAAAAGACTTTATGTGGAGATAGGGTTTTACTAAGTCACTAACTTGACCCAGTGAGGCTCAAATTTACAGTTTTCCTGCCTCAGCCTCCCAGAGTACTAGACTCACAGGTACATGCCACCACACCTGGCTAGCTACTTTTGCCTTTTAGTTGAATCTTTATACCATCTCTTAAGTAATTAATGAAATTCTTGGAAGTTTACCATATTGTTATTTATGTTTTTTTCTGTTGTCTGTACCTTTATTATCCCTTACCACTTTATTTTTGGATTAGTAAGTTTTAAATTTTTCTCTTATATCGTTTTAATATCTTTTAAATTATTATTACAAAATTGTTATGGTTTGGGTCTGGCATGTGGGCTTTGTGGAGGTGGGGAATCTAGAGTCTGTGATTAGTTCATTGTGTAGTGCTGGATTGGGCAAGTGCTCTGGAGCAGGTAACCTGTACATAGACTAAAGGAGGGGAAGAGGTACGCTCCTCCCTTTCCCCTTACTGCTTTGGTGTCTTCTGCCACTGTGAACTGCTACCCCTGTGCCATGCCAACCTGCCTTGGAGCCAACTGACTGTGGACTGAAACCTCCACAAACTGTGAGCTAACTAAACCTTTCCTTCCCTAATTTTTGCATTGGGTATTTTGACTCAGCAATGAAAGAAAAGTGACCAAGACCAAAATGCATATTTGATTCATTACATTTTAAATTAGTACTCTTCATCTCAGCCCAGGGGAGGCTGAGGCGGGAGAATCACTGTGAGTTTGAGACCAGGTTGGGCTACAAAGTGACTTCAAGTCCAGGCTGAACTACATAGCAAAACCCTGTTTCAAACAGAAAAAAATTAGTACTCTGATGTTACCTTATCCCCTTAAATAAAAAACTTATGACAGTTTAACTCCACTTGTGCTATTGTTGCCTTCTACTTTTCCATATGTATAAAATGTTATTGTTTTACCAATTGTCAGTACTTGTTTCTCTCTTTTTTGTACTGGAAATCGAACTCAGGACTTTGTGCTTTTTGTACTGGAAATTGCACACAGGCAGGCACTGTGCTGCTGAGCTACATCCTTAGTCTATACTGGCTTCTTTTTATGCACACATTTCCTTTGTCATGGTCTTCATTACCCCCTGCAGTTCTGTGCAGCCACCAGAATGTCTTTCATCCTAAAAAATTACCTGGCATGTTCCTTATCTAGAAAGTTTTCTGAAATTTTTCCCATCTTCAAATTATGTTTATTTCCTCTCTTTTGTATTTAATTTTGTTTTGGCTTTTGAGACAGAATCTCGCTATGTAGTTCAGGCTGACCTGGAACTCACACTGATCCTCCTGCCTCAGCCTTCCAAGTGCTGGGATTACATGTGTGTGCCATCATGCCCTGCTTCCCCTCAAATTTTGCAGGGCAATTTCACAGAGTATAGAATTCTAGGTTCTCTGTACATTTTCTTTTAGCACTTCAGTAGGTCATTTGGTTATCTTCTGACATTTATGACTTTGAAGTCAGACATCCCTCTTATTGGATCTTTGCAGGTAATGTGTGCTTTTCTTCTGTTTTCACTGATTAACAGTTTCACTATGATATATCTTGCTGTGATTTACTTTATATTTATCCTGCTTGGAATTTGCAAGATTTATTGACTCTGTCAATTGATATCTTTCATTGAATTTGGAAAGAATATTTTTTCAGATCTAGTTTGTCTTTCTGTCTCTATTCTGATTCTATGACTGAATTTACAGGTTTATTAGAACTTTTGAATGTATTTTGCATGTTGCTAATATAACTTTTAGAGTTAAATTTTCTCTTTCGATAATTTGGGTTTTTTCTTGATCTGATTTAAATTCACTAAGCTCTGTAGAATACAGTTCTCAGAAATGGACACAAAAATGTGGTAGACTGAAACTGTAACCTAGCTTCAGGGTAGAAAATATTACCAATACCTAGCAATTGGTAATCCAAACAAGAATCAAATTATTGCTGCTTATAGCAAAACTTATTTTTATCCTATGTTTTCTTTTGTGATGCTAGGGATCAACCCCAGAGCTCTGTGCATGCTAGGTAGTGTTGTACTTCCCCAAAAAGGCCCCTGAGATGAAAAATGGGACAAGACCCCTGAGGTGAAAAAAGAACGGGGCAAAACGATGTCGTTTTAAGAAGAAGCGCTTTTATTTTAGCTGGCCCAGTGACACAGTGCAGATAGCATTTGCCAAGCTGTGCAACTGAGTTATAATTTTGACTGATTTTTGTAGTTCATTTATGATTAGCTCATTGATCATTAAGTACATAGTGACGAGAAACAGAAACAAGATGGGCCTTTGCTTGAGGTCAGAGACATTTCACAGTGGGTGGTTGGCCAATTCATAGCCCTTGGTCTGCCAATTCCAGGAACATTTGTCTCTCATAAAGGGAACAATGGTTGACACAGCATCATTTGTCTCTTACAAGGGGAACAAAAGTTGACACAGCAAACAGGTTACTAAGGTGTGTGTGTGGGGGAAACGACACATACAGAGCAGCATGACGACGTGGTCAGTTAATTTATAACAAATTTATAACAACGTGGTCGGCACTCCAGGTACATGGTTTCTAGGGCGATAAGCATAGAGCATAACAGGTAAGTGCTCTACCACTGAGCTACATCTGAGCCCGGAGATTTTACATATTTCATGATTGAACAAGTTTGTGCCTCATTGTATCTAATTCTCTATGTTGCAGGAATTATATCTAATTTCTTGTTTCCTCATCAAATTGCCATTGAAGTCCCACTTAGGTGATGTTGAAATAGGTGTATTGTACCCAGGTAGAACTTCCTGATCATCACAACGTTACCTCAGCAGCAGGCAGATTTTTATATTCGAATTTCATGTTAACAAGAATGGTTTCAAAACTAACCACCCCCCAAGGGAGCTACTATAAGACTAATAACACTAAGTTGCTTTTCTTTCTCTTACTGTATCATTTCTAGTGTTTCCCTGGAAATTCTTGGATACTGCATAGCTCTTTTCATAAGAAATATGAATATACACACGTAAGTGTATGATACGCATACATAAATATTTTATATGAGAGATTATTTTAAATCTTTTTTCCCACAGTACTGGGAATTCAATCCATTCGCACTGAACTTCTTCCCAAGCCCCCTTTATTTTTTATTTTGAGACAGGGTCTTGCTAGGTTGCCCATGATGTGCTCAGACTTGCAACTTTCCTGCCTCAGGCTCACAGATGCTGGGATGGTAGATGAGAATCACCATGCCTATCATCTTACTTCTGTCAGCCTATGGCCTTTACTTGAATTGACTGAAATGGTTTCATGATGTTGTTACCCTCTCATGTCTTACACAGACTGCATCTGGCTGAAAGAGAAAAAGCAGAGCAAAAAGCGGGCTTTCCAGCGAATAATCTGCCGCATATGAGCAGACTTCCCCCTACGAATCTAAAAGGACAGGAAGACTCTTTGGACATTATTCTAGCAAAGGTGAGAACCAGCTTTGATTGATTTCTGAAGAAAAAGGATTCCTATTGCTTTCTGTTACTCCGGGGGGTGATGGGTTAGCATCCAGTAGCCCCGCAGCCCTCTTTCTCATGGGGACCAAGGGAAGCAGTGTCATGTGGACTCCAGTGTATGCAGATGAGGTGCCCGGCCTGGCAGGAACCACAGGTGTCCGTGTTTCTGCAGAAACGGGTGGAGGGAATGTGGCTTGGAGACACCTAGTTTTAATTCCCTAGTGTGGATTTGTTCCTGCTGCTGCAGTAATCTAGGGTTATGTCTGGGTGTAGGGAGCTAAAGAGAAGCTTGGGAAGTGCAAGTCATTGAAACCGAGGCACAGAAATGGCACGGCTGACATGTTGGTGGGTTGCAGACACGAGCCAGGAGAGCTAGAATTACAGCAAGACGTGAGCTAAAGGAAGTGAGCCGGATCTCAGGAGGCAGGACCCGGGATGAGCAGAAGGTGTTACTCAGGTCTGGCTAGGGGAGCTGCACCTCTGATCGTTTCTTTCTTTGCTCTTTTATTCCCCTTCTTTTTATCCTCTGAGCTTTCAGTACACAAACCCATCATCACTTGCACAATTCTTACTCTTTCTTCTTCTGAGGTTCACTTAACAAAAAGCCCAGAGACTGAACTCGTCCCTTCAGCTGCTAGCCCTGAAAGTGGCAGTGAGGTGGAAAGAAGGGCATGTAGAATCTGAAAGGTGGCCAGTGCCTGAAATCCCAGCATTTAGGGAGCTGAGGCAGGAGGATCACGGAGTTTGAGGCCAGCCTGGGCTACAAAGTGAGTTAAAGTGAGCCTGAAGCGCCTAGTGAAACTCTGTCTCCAAAATGATTTAAAAATAATTTAGAATTCTCTCATGGGAAATGGGGGAAGGAAAAGTACAAACATTTCTCATTATTTTTCATGTCATATTTACAATGGAGGCAAATGACTTCAGGAGCACAAGGAAAGATCGAGGAAAGGAAGTACAACTTCTTTGATTTATGCCCTTACATGATCAAGGCTAATCTTAAATTTATTTGATAACCATAAATCTTATGAAAATATTATTTCCCTGGCAGCTTCTCACTTTGTGGTCTTAGCATTCATTGGTAACCCTTACCTGATTCAATTGTCTTATTACAAGTTATAAAGTGATGAATTTCTATCATTTTATATTTTTTTTAGCATAAATTGTTCTGTAAAGAGTTTACCTCATCAGCTAGGGCTCTTGGCTAGCTGCTTCTCTAAATTTCTACCTTTTGTGGTTCTCATGTGATCTTTTGAGTAATGTAAGAGGGTCTTTTCTCCTGAATTTTTGTGTTATAACTATATTTATACTTCAAAAGGATAGAAGTAGCTATCTCTCTGTTACTTTCAATGAGGAAGTTTAACCTGTGTTTTGGCATATTCAGGAGAAGGACAAAGCATTCCTGGCCGGAAACTTTGAGAGAGACATTATTCACCCTGAAGGACCAAACAATGGGCAGAAATTTTGGGATAAATCTCAACAAGATGTGTTCCTCAAGGAAAAACCAACAGCTGAGTTAGATGGACCTCCACACTCATGTAGTCCCGAAATTAAAACTGCGCGGTCTCAGTATCAGGATCTCAGTCAGCCAACTGCTATTCTGAGTGACAGCGGTGGCCCCATCCCAGCCACAGAGGACGCTGTGAAGGAGAGGATTCAAGAAATTGGTGCAAACGAACAATCATGGAAATCCGTAAGTGCACAGATACCCTTCATTTAACGACCTACCTGTTTAGCAACTGTTTGGACTTCTGACTGAGGTGTGCGGTTTGTACTTGCAACCAGACTTTGTTTTTCTTTCTTTTGGTACCGGGGATCAAACTCACAACTTTGTGCTTGCCGCCGAGTTCTATCCCCAGCCCTGCATGTCTTTTTTTGGTACAATACACCTTATTTATAATTTTAGCTGACTGTGCTATACAGTACAGTCATGTAGTTTTACATTACAGTACTGCATGTAAGAGTCATTCAACTAAAACCAAAGCCATCAGGTTGGAGTTTCCTTTGACCATTTCTTTGTTCTGAATATGGATACATACACTTCCTTATTTATTTAATGACTGAGTGGGAGGAATGGAACTCTGTCATTAAACAAGCAATGTCTGTACTCTTTTGATTCTTTCAAGATGTAGATTTCTACATTAGCTAATTTAGTGGAGCATGGCTCTGATTGTAGTTTTGATTTAGTACTATAGTGAAAGAAGACAGTAGGTTGTCTTCACAACCTTGGAGGTAGTTTGGCATGATGATAGAAGTATAGCCGTGCGGTGAATCTCAGTTCTGCCCTTTGCCAGCTGTGTGTCTGTGGGTGGGGGAGGTATTTACTGTCCTCTCTGTGCCTTGGTTTCATTTCAGCAGGGGGATTGAAGGGCAGTGGGGTGCAGGGCAGTGTTTCCCACCTCACAGAAATGAGAAATGCTTAATATAGCTCAACATAAGTTCAATAAACATTAACTTAAAAACAGGGCTATGGTGAAGGTAATATTTTTGTAATGGTTCAACACTGTCAGTTCCGTCGGTGCAGTAATTGTCAGGGCTGGGGGTGTAGCTCAGTGGTAGGGCACGTGCTTAGCATGCACGAGGCCTGGGGTTCAATTCTCAGCACCCCCACAACCAACAAAGGCACACAAATCAATTAATAGAATTACCAGGTAAATGTATTTGAATTCACACGTCCAGTCCAACAAATGATTGAATTACCAGGCCTAAGTGAATACACTTCTTTGTTTCCAAATCACTGTAATAAAATTCTGTGATTTCTCGTCCTAAAATTCAAATGATGATTGAAACTACAGAATGTGACATTCAGCGTGCTAATGAAACCTGCCACACAACTGTCTGTTCAAATCTGCTTTTATTTATTTATTGTTATTATAATATTTTTTTACCATGCTGGGGATCAAGTCCTTTTGGTAGGCAAAGTGCTCTGCTAATGGGGGACTCCCGTGTCTCCAGTTTTGTGTCATTTTAAAATTTTCTGCCCTCTTAAAATCGTGCAACTCTGTTTCTCAGTATTAAAGTATGTTATTCTTGTATATCAGTGTTTTCTATTTATTTCCTTACTTTATATATGTTAAATTTATTTAAAATCTTTCTTATTCGTCTGGTTATTTTACCTTTTGTTTTTTAGTATCAGGGATTGAACTCATGACCTTGTGCGTGCCAGGCTGGCGCTTATGCCGCTGAGCTAAGTCCCTGACCCCTTACTCATCTGTTGATGTAAACAGAAAAGGATATAGTTTGAAATGATGCAAGAAGTCCTCTAAATACAATTTTGTTCCAGAGGATTGAAGGTCTGGAGCAGAAGATCCAGAAGCTCACTCCGCGACGGGGGCAGCTGTATCAGATGTGTGAAGAGCCTACCCGAGAATCGCCCCACATTGGAGAAAATTCCAGGGAGCCGAACAGACCCTCCAAGTGTCTGGGAGGGCATGTTGCTGTCGATGACTCTTTTCAGGGGAAAGTAGACTCGGACAGGAAGAAAGTAAGAATTTCCTGAAATACTAGCATTTGTTTCACAGCGAAAATGATCATTTTATTTTACTAAAAATGTTAATGCTATCTAATATTTAAAGTGTTCATATTATCAATACTTTTCCTTTTCTCTTTGTTTTTAGACAGGGTCTCACTGTGTAGTCCAGGCTGGCCTTGAACTCACAGCGATCCTCCTGCTTCATCCTCCCATGTGCTGGGATTCCAGGGGTGCACCGCAATGCCCACCTGAAAACAGACTTTTTAATAAAATCAGAAGCTTTAAATATTTGCAGCAATACCCTCCCCTTCTTTGCTTCCTCCTCTACCACTACCACCACTGCCACCATCACAGCTTCTTTGGGTTTTTGAGACAGAATCCTGCTATGTTCCAGGCTGGCTTTGAACTTGCTATGTGACTCAGGTTGTGAGCAAACTTGAAGTCCTCCTGCCTCAGCCTCCCACAGTGCTGGGATTACAGGCATGCACCACTAGGCCCAGCTCCCCTTTTGCCATATTAACTTGGCAGTGCACACCCAAGGCCAGTTTGGGTTACATACTGAGTTCAAATCTAGCCTGAATTAAATAGTGAGACCTTGTCTACAAACAAACAAACAAAAAACCCCAATTCTCTTCTCTTTCCATATTTCCTTTTGGCTACTAGTGGCCATATTTGATGCTATTATGAGGATGCCTGTTATGTGTATGTTAATGCACTTTCCAAAGAGGATGAAACTGAAAGGAATTGAGAGCAATGACTAATGCTGAAATTTCAGGCGCTGTGACCATGAAATGTCGCTTGTAAAGGATCATTGGTGATATTTCTCAGTAATTACTATGTAAACCATTACCCTCTCTGTTTTCTGTTTCCCTGTATCTGTTCAGAAAAAGGCAATTTAGGATATAAATGAATAGGTTGCTGTACGACGTATTTTGAAGAAATTGTTTGTATTTCACAACCTCTTCCCTGAATTACCTATCACACCCTAACCTGTGTTACCCCGTTTTTATGCTGCGGCTCAAAGGGTACTCACGCCCCCTCCCGATGGGCTCAATCTTTCAGCACATTCATTCAGATTTACAAGATAGTATATACATTTTTACTGTGGTGGGAGATGGAAACTAAAGGCCTCGCGAGTGTTAACCAAGTGCTCCACCCTGGAGCAATGCCTTTAGCCCCAGTCTAATACTTACTGAGCACTTCATTTTTAAAATGATGCAAAAAATGCACCCAGTAGAGTTCAGAGAACGTGCAGTTTCTACCTCAGCTTCTGAGTATCCGGATCATGATGGTTCATTTCCATACACACAAAATTTAAATGCTTTGCTGAATTTTGAGGATATAAAAATAACACATGCTTTCCACATCCCTTTGTCATATTAAAAGATTTGAAGAACACAGTAATAACCTTCCCAATTCTCTCTCTGCTGTTTTAATCTTAGTGACCTTTACAGATGTTGCTGACTTGGTTCCAGACTATTGGTATAAAGCAAATTTCACGATAAAAATGAGTCGCATGAACTTCAGGTTTCCCAGCACACATAAAAGTTATGTTTACACTATACTATGTACTTGTTATGTATAAACTAAAAGGATGAAAAGTTCTGTGCAAAGAAAAATAGGTGGCCAGGCAGACTAGTTATCCAGGAAAGAAGAAGGTGAAAATGTAATAAATTAGGAAGAAGAAACAGACAGAATGAATGCATACAGATGGAAAAGATGAAACAAATTCTGAAAAATATTTTGTAATTCAGTAACAATAAATTGAAACTCTAGGGGCTGGAATGTAGCTCACATGGTGGCAGATGTGTGCTAGGCATGCTTGAGTCCTTAAGCTCCATCCCTGCCCTCACACACCCCCACAAAAAAGCTCAAGCCAGGCATGACACACTCCTGTAATTCTAGCACTCAGGAGACAGAGGCAGGAGGATCCCCACACGTTCAATTCCAGTTTGGGGTATGTACTAGGTTCAAGGCCAGTTTGCTTCTGTGAAGCAAGACCATGTTAAAAAAAAAAAAAACCTGAAAGAGATAAATTGTGTCATAGAAATCAATATAACAATACAGAGTTAGACCTGGAACAACAATGATTTCTTGTAAAGAAAACTAATAGATTTTTAAAATTTTATTTAAAAGGAAAAAGAGAAAAAACAAAGCAAAACAAAGCGGTGTAAGGGTAAAAGTAATACAGAACTACAAAACAAACAAACAAAAAAGTAAGAAATCATCAGTTAGTAGATGACACATTATCATCTTAGAGATAGTTGCTCAAATCACAGTATCAAACCATACAAAGTGAACATTCAAACAGAGAGACCGCAAACAGTTGTGTTCAATGATCCAACCAAAAACATTAATATGGTCAGCTATTTAACACCCCTAAACACACTTGCATTTGTATCCTTTAGAGCTCTTTTTTTCCTTCTCTTTTTTACAACAGAATTTACACATTTTGGGTTTGATTACTCCTTAGTTCTTATTACATTTTTTTTGAAAGAGAATAAAGTCAAATTATGGCAAAACAAAGCTGTCAGTCAAAACCATGGATAGACATAGCACATGATAAAACTAATAGATTTAACAAACGAATCACAGGTGGTTCACACCACAATCCCAGCGCTTGGGAGGCTGAGGCACAAGGATGGGCTAAATCAAAGGCCAGCCTGGGCTACATAGTAAGACACTGTCTCAATGAAATAAATAAATATAAAAATAAGTACAGTAAGGCAAAGCTGAAATACTGAGAAACCAAAAGAGTGTTATTTTTGTCTGCAATCATATCATCACAGTTCTGAGTAAATAGTAAATGATATTTACAGACTGCCGTCTGGACAGGTATAAAAGTTACACTGAATAACTGAGTTCATAGTGTCCAGCCACTAGCCTCTTTTAGCTTTGCCCGTTCTTGTTCCTTTCAATGTGTTCTGTGGAACTGATTCTTCATCTGGCGCTAAGTGTGCGCTTTTACCTCTTTTAGCTACTGTTTCTGGTAGTAATTTCCATTTCTCCAATTTGTTTATACTGCTGTGTCTTCAATTACCTATTTTAGACATTATCGCTTGCTTTCCTGGTAACGTTCTCTCTCATACCACTTTTCCACCCACACTTTCTATCTTCCCATTATAGTTGTATCAGTATTTTTAATGAAACCTATAATCAACATTTATTTAACCATGACAGTAAATATTTACAAAAGCCTACCATCCAAAGTATTGCTACATTTCCTTTCTCTAGTGCCTTTTATTTGTCCTAGTTAATGCCATCTTTGTGTTTTCATATATAATTTTTAATATTCATTGTTTTCTCTTGAACATCGTATTAAAAAGCCCTCTGGTATGTAAAACTCTCTCCTTTTTTCCTCTCGCGAAGTTTTGCATTTTCGTGCCTCCGCCTGGGTTTGCTCCGTGGTTTGGGCACGGGTGTGATCCTGTGATTTTTCTTTTCCACTCTCCTCCTTAGGAATCACAATTTCCTGAATTGTATCTTCTTTTTTAAAATTTCATTTCTTATTTTACTGGAGGACATTCTCCAATCGCGTCCCAAGAGGTCCCAAAGTTATCTTGGAAAGATAACCTTTAATTCCTTGTATAAATGACAAGAGCATTTGTGACTCTTTCTACCTGATAACTGGCTTTAGACTTTATTATTACACAGAGATTAGATGTTACCATTATCATCTAGTCTTTTGGGGTGGTTCTTTAGTAAAATGATGTTATTATTCTTGTCCCTTAATGTATTGTTTTATTTCTTTTAATGCATTAAAATTTGTCATAATATTTTCATTATAACACAAAGTAACTATTTTGCATAATATAGTTAAATTAATGTGGTAAAAAATTCATGTGATTACTGAAGATTTATAAAGCACAGAATAATAGAATATCATTGAAACACATCAGTAAACTACATCTTGAGATAAGCAGTGTTGTCATATAGAAACATTTCCTTCTGATTACTGTTATGCATATTTTGACATAATTGAAACAGGTATAGTTTTTCCTAATCCCGCTCCTTTCATTTAACTGTATCATTACTACTTTCCCAGATAAATATTTTTGAGGGACTTTTTAGGGAATGTATATTTTATCATTATAAAATGAATTGAATTATTGAAGTTGAATTATTCTTCTTTGGACATTTTCCTTGATTTTTAATATTTATTTTTGTTTTTTATTTTAATTTAATTTAATTTTTAAAGAAAGAAAAAAGATAAACATAACAATGAAACTGAGTTTCAAAAGACAGGGTCTTGCAATGTAGTGCAGGCTGGACTTGAACTTGCTTATGTAGCCTAGGCTGGCCTCAAACTCATAGCAGTCCTCCTGCCTCAGCCTCCTGATTGCTGGAATTACAGGTGTACATTACCATGTCTAGATTCATTGCTTTTTTGTTACCAATAGTGTTGTAAAGAATATCTGTGTGCCAGTATGGTAATACAAATTTATTATTAGTCCCAGCACTCTGGGAGGCTGAGGCAGAAAGATCAAATGTTTAAGCCCAGCCTGGGAAATTTAGCAACTTAGTGAGACCCTGTTCCAAAATAAAAAATAAAAAAGATTAAAGATGTAGTTCAGTGGAAAGCAATTGGTTCAGTGTTCAGTATGGGAATAAAGCAATGCATCTTGGTTTAACAATTTATTATTTCCTTGTACTGCATTCCTAAAAAAGATGAACTAATCTATGTTACTACTTAGAACTTACTAAACTGTCTATTTAACCATGCCCTTGGTATACTGTTATCATTTTTATTGTTACATTTTATTTTCCTGATTCCTTTCACTAATAAAGTACATATTTATGGTGAATATATGTATTATTAATTCTGCAGTTTTTTAGTCTAAAGTAGATGTGTTTTTATGCTGGTGTAAAATAACATTTTAAAGCACAATTCTTTATTCTGATAGTTAATTTCTGCAGAGGAGATCTCCACAATGCAGAATTTCTTGACAGATAAGCACAACAAGTTCAAACGATTAGATATGTTGTTGAATATTCAGCAGAATTTGCAGATTGCTACAACACTAAGATTGGAGGACAAAATCCAGAAACTTCAGGAACAGCTTAGTGATTTGAAATTGTCAAATAAAACTATGAAAAGTCAACTGATAAGAGTAAACATCCTGAAAGTAAGTAAGGACGTGGGGCTTTCAAAATTCACTTTAACTTTAGTCCATTCCTATTTTAGCTGCCTGGCTGTCACTGAGCTTTACAAAAAAACACAAAACAAAAGCCAATATTAAAATTATCTTACACACATGTGGAAGAACATACAATGTTAAAGCCTATAGAATAATGACAGAGAGGGGCTGGCCATTTAGCACAGTGGCATAAGTGCCTGCCTGGCAAGCAAGAGGTTGTGAGTTTGATCCCTGGTACAAACAAAACAAAACAAAATAAAATAAAATAAAATAAAATCCTGTGAGCCTACTTATCATTTTAAGAAATACGTAATTACCAGTCTCCTCAAAGCCCACATTTACTCTCCTATTTCTTACAAGTAAACTACTATTCTAAGTATTATGGCTATCAATACCTTGATTTTTATCTTAGCATAAAAGCTAGTAAATGTTGTCCCTTTTACTTTTTAAGATTTCTGAGTCCGTGTTTGCAGCACATCATTATCACATCCATCGTGGGGCACTGGTACAGGTTCATAACACATGTTCATTCTTTTTGTTCCCCACCGTTTCCCTTCCCTCCTCTCTCCTTCCATCTTTTGGAATAAATGTAATCTCTGACCAAGATAGTGGTTCAAAGGTTTTCATCTGATTTTTCCTCTTCTTTGAATTTTCTAGCTTCAATTATACTATTTCAAAAGCTAATCATGCACTACATGATTGATTGATTGGTTGATAAAGCACCAGTTTATCAGCAATATTTGTCTTCTAGGTGCAAATAATTATTTTCATTATTTCTGTATTTGATGTTGATAATTAACAAGCACAGGGGCTGGGGATTTAGCTCAGTGGCATAAGCGCCTGCCTTACAAGCAGGCAGTCGTGAGTTCGATCCCCGGTACCGATAAAAAGGAAAAAAAGACAACAAAACAAAACAAAACAAAACAAACAAACAAACAAAAACCAAGCACAATGATAGGGAAACAGCCTCTTCAGAAACTGTGGAATTTTTTTCCTTCCCATATGTGTTAGTCTTCTATCCCTGTGACAAAATACCTGACAGGATCAATTTAAAAGGAAGAAACTGATTCTGCCTCCCAGCAGGGATGTGAGCCCCTGGTCAGTGGGCTCCATGTCTGGGCAGAATACTACAGGGGGGAGTGCGTGAGATTGCTCTCCTCACCCTGGCTGGAGGCAGACAGAGAGAGGGCAGAATGTGCCCCTCCAGGACTTCCTTCCTCCAAGCAGATCCCGCCCCTAAAGTCTCCACTGCTCCCCACCACGAGCTGTGCATCCATGAGGGGATGAATCCATTCCCAGGGCTGGCGCTCTCCTGAGCGTACCTTCTCCTAAGCCCCGAGCCCTGAGCACTGCCACGCTGGTACCATGCCTCCCACAGGTGAGATGGTGAGAGACGTCTCACATCCAAACAGTAACACATCTCTTCAAAATTAAAAAAAAAAAACATAATGAGTTATGCTTGTCTGTTATTTATAAAGATCAAACAAGTCTTGGTCTTTCACCACTTTTTATCCTCTTGCAGGACAAAACTGTTGAAAGTCTCAAGAAATCACTGACAAAAGTCAAAACAGTGAAAGAGAAGGCAGTGACAAAAATAGACAACTTGAAAACTATTGCAGACTCTGCAGAACAAGAGGCGAGACCACAGAAAGAGAGGGCCCGCAACACGTTAAATGGTGTCACCCCTCAGCTCTCCCCAGCTAAGAACACACTGGAAGAAGCATCCCGGAAAGAACCAGAGGTGGGTGTCGTTGCTATGTTAAGATTAGTTGAAGTTATGAGCACCCATCTGAACTGAGGCTTAGACAGAAATGTCATTTACTAGTAGACAGTATCAATTGCAGGTTAACCTGACCTACAGGCAGAGGTGCCAGGCATGCACCGGGAACCACACAGGGCCTTTCTCCTCCTCTTGTCTTAGTTTCTGTGTGATCACTTGTTGGTCTGACGGCAGCTGGTTTTCTCCGTATGTCAGGAAATGCAGCCACCGACAGCCGTGGAGTTTTATATTTATTTCCTCCAATCAATATAAGGCATAGGACAGCTTTTGCGTTGCCCAGTGTAGATGATAAAGTGCCTCTCCCAGATGACTCCACAGTGGTTAAGGGCGGGTATGGTTATCTTAGTTTAGGTTTGTGCAACCTGTCTTCTGACCAGCCAGGAGGCCAGGGACCTGGGAAAGATTGAGAGCTCAGAGCAAAGCAGGTACGTTTCTCACCGAGTCACATTCTAGCATAGGCTAGTGCTTCTAAACTGGCCTAGATCTGCGTTGTACTTACAAAGCAAATCTTTTCTTTGTCTGACTTATATTTCTTTTCTTTTTTTTTTTGTGGTACTGGGGATCGAACTCATGACCTCACACTTGCCAGGCAGGCGCTTATGCCGCTGAGCTAAATGCCCAGCCTTCTTTTTGTTTTTAAAGCAAGGCTTTAAATGTAGTTATGTAGTTTATGTAGTGAGGGCTGGTCTTAAACTCACTATGTAGCCCAGTCTGGCCTTGACCTCAGGGAAACCCTCCTGTCTCAGCGTCCTGAGCACACTGGATTACACGTGCACCACCACACCTCGCTTGACTCTTCCTGTCTCTCACGTGTATCAGGGTGGTATTGGTAGCATTGGTACCAATTTGGTAATATTGGTAGGAGTGCTGTGAATTGAACCTAGAGCTACACACTAAAGCAAGCAGTTTTTAAAAAAAATTTAAAGGTTAATTGACAATTTAGGGCAACTGTTAAATTGCATGTCAAATTGCCATATTAGTTGCTTAAAAATTATTTTAAGATATGCTTAAAACAAAGTTGTTGTCTTAGCATTTTCTTTTTTCTCTTTCTACTTCTCTTTTGTGTGTCTGCTTTCTACATTTTTTATACCTCTTTTCAATGTCACTTAATCTTTTTTATAAAACCTTTTCTTTAGACATCCTATAATTCACCACACCCAGCTAACAGTTATATTTCTGATTTAACAGAAGAAAAGTTTCCCCCCCTGTGTCTGTAAATCCTTTGTTTAATTGCTGTGAACTTCATATTAGGGTGTTGTTTCAAATCTGTGTTTCATGGCTATTTTTGAGGGGGGTATTTTCGTCACCTGAACAATTTAGATGATCTGCCTTTTTAAGTATAAATTTTAGTGGTGCTGGAGACTGAACCTAAGGCCTATTCACTGAGGTATCTCCCCAGCCCTTTTGCAAAATTTTAATTGAGACCAGGTCTTGATACATTGGTAAATTGCCCAAGCTGTGCTCAAACTTCGGGTCTTCCTCTGTCAGTTTCCCAGAGTGTTGGGACTGTGCTGCTACTTCCTTCTCACCGTAATCCTATTTGGATGGATTTACCACTTACCTATCCACTTTGAAAATCCTTTTTAAGAAGTATTTCTTATGCGGTACTGGGCCCTCGCACAGAGTTACACACCCTGGCCCGTTGTCAATTGGATCGAGATGGGATCTTGCGAAGTCACTAATCGGCAGAGGCTGGCCTTGAATTTGTGGTCCTCAGGGCTCAGTTTCCCGAGAGCTGGGTCACAGCTTGCATGAGCACACCCTGAAATCCTTCTGCCCTGGCGGCTTCCTCACTCGGGTTCTCAACTCAATGCTGCCCTCTTCTGTTCGCGTGGTGACTGCGAGCTCTAAAAGTTACCAGAATGAGGTTTTATTTTGGTGCTGGGGGTTTCTGTGATTCTGTGACAATTTTGTATAAGTCTGTTAATTTCCTAAACCCGCCCTTCCAGGTCCCTACTTTGGAACCTCTCCTCAAGAGTCTCACCTTCTAGACTGCCATTTCTGGTCTCTTGTTCTTCTAAGTCTCTGTCTCTCTGTCTCTCTGTCTCTCTGTCTCTTTTGGTACAGGGAATCGAACTCATGACCTCACGCTTGCCAGTCAGGCGCTTGTGCCGCTGAGCTATATCCCCGGCCCCTAAGTCTCTTTTTAAGAAATTGATTTTTGTGCGTTCACCTTTGCAGCACACGACTGCATTCATCGCGGGAAGTTGGTACATGCACACATCACAGCTCAATTCTTTCTCCTCTCATCTGCCTCGTCCATCTCTTGGCCCCTTCCCACTTACACAGGCTTTATTTCCTGTTCTGCTCTCATTCCTTATGTTTTAATCCCTTTCTCTCTTCTTCCTCTCCTCTGTGCCGTCTCTTGTGCTTCTTCCCATTTGAAAAAGATCTTCTTCCCACTTCCTATCTTGCTCTTTATATTTGTATTTCTCCTAAAAGAGAAACCATGCAGTAGGTCAGCTTGTGTGTCTGACGTTTCACTTAGTAGTATGGTCTCAAGGTGCGTCCATTTATCTATGAATCCTTCTTTATGGCAGAGTAGTACTTCTTTATGGCAGAGTAGTACTCTATTATGTGTAAATACCACATTTTCTTTGTACATTTGTTGATGTACATATCTGACACTTCCAAGATTTAGCTATTATGACTTTTATTACTGTAAACATAAATATGCATTTTTTTACTCTTTTGTGGGGGAGCCATGTTAAAGGGAATTTCTAGTTTTCATTTTTTAAGGAATCACCATACTAATTTCCATAGTGGTTATACCAGTTTACATTCCCACCAACACTATAGGAAGGTTCCTTTTTCACACAGTCTTAACAGCATTTGTTAATGTTGGATTTCTTGAGATAGCCATTCTTTCTGGGGTAAGATAGAATTTCAGGACCGGGGGTATAGTTCAGCATCACAAAGGTCTATCTGGCCAGCGCAAGGTCCACACACACACACACACACACACACACACAATAAAGAATCTCAGTGTTGTTTACTTTTTATTTCTCTAGTTGCCATCGACGTTGAATATTCTTTCAGGTATGTATTCTGATACATACCTGATGTATGTATAGGTGATTGTTGCATCTGTTCATTACAGTTGCCCATTTTTGACTGAGTCTTTTATTTTGAGAGCAGCTCTAATCTTTTTGAGTTCTTGATACACTGTAGATTTAGTCCTCTGCCTGCAGAATAGCTGGCAAGGATTTTTCCCCATTTTGTAGGTGGTCTCTTCACTCTGTCTCCTTTGCTGTGCGAAGCTTTTAAATTTGGTGTGATCCCGTTTGTTTCTGATGGTACTATTTCTCATGCCACTGCAGTTCTGTTCAGAAATTCCTTGCCTATGCCTGTCTTCAAGAGTTTTACCCATTTCATCTCCCAGTAGAAAAATGTTTCCAGTTTAACATTTAGATCTTTGATACACTGTGATTTCAGTTTAGTACATGGTGAGATACAGGAGTCTAGATTCAGGGATCTGCAGTGAATATCCAGCTCTCCCAGCACCCTTTTCTAAGGCTAAGCACTTTCTTTCCCTTCTACCAGGTCTCAGATTTGTTTTCAGTATTTCCCCACTTGTGAAGTGCCCCATCTGGGGAAGGGTGCGGTGGTCTGTGTCTACACTGGTGGAAACCAGCCTCTGAAAAGTGCTGTCTGCTACTGAACACGTGTGCAACTGCAGGGGCTGTGCTATTCTCTAATTAGGCTCTAGGCATGCTTATGGTTGGCTTTTATTTGCTCACTTCATTTATTACTGTGACTTTTGAAGGAAGGATGGAGAGATAGGTAGTTTGGGGACTGCTATTATCATAAAGCAAATCAGAAATCCAAAAGGTAGTCCCAGCTAGAAGGGAGGCTGAGCCAGGAGAATCACTTAAATCCAGAATTTGTAAGCCAGCCTGGGAAACAGAGTAGGAGCTCCTCTCAAATAGGAATGAAAAATTAAAAGTTGTTTTGTAGGTGAAAAACAAGCAGTAACCTAAATAAATAAACACTAACAAAAGTATAAGTATTAAAATCTGAAGGAAATTTTAAGGAGTTGGAGAGAAGAAATTATTTTCTAGCTTGAAAATAAATTTGAGACTGGGCATGTTGGCCTTCACCTGTAATTCCAGCACTCAGGAGGCTGAGGCAGGGGGATTGCCATGAATTCAAGGCCAGCCTCGGCTACACAGTGAGTTCGACACCAGCCTGAATTACCTATCAAGACTCTGGCTAAAAAGTGGGACAAACAAACAAAAAAACTGAATGTATAGTATATTTGAGAAAGAAATGTTTATTTAATAAGAGGGAAGGGAGAAAATAAGAAGAAATGATTAAAGTATGTTAAAATATTGATTTTTAAAATATTACATTCGATATTATTTATCTTGAAAAATAAGGCTAAATTTCTAGTACCAATTTCATTGCATATAATAAGTCCCAAACTGATGACCTATTTTACTTTTTGTGGTGGTTCTTCAAAGCTCCTTGGCTTTCGAGACAATATTATGAAGATGTTGGGATTCAACATGAAAACAGCAGACAAAGAAATCATCAATCAGCTAAAGCTTATCATCCAAGTCTATGAAATAGCCAACAGATCAAAGATGGCGTCTGCTTGTGAGAACGGAAAAGGCAGTGAATGAGGAACCTCTGCTTTCAGTGCTGCTGAGAACCCGGCTGACGGCTGACGCGATGTCTTCAGCATCTACAGGATGGCCACATTTTAAATAAAATGCGCTGGAAAATGTTCACTTAAATCTGTTTTCTCTTATGATGGTTGGCATTTAACCTTCTTTATAATAATCACTTTCTATGAATATATTTATGGTATAGCCTGGATCATTGCTTGTAATAAATAATTATCCAATTACCTTTAATTACTAACTGTATTTTAAGCAGGATATGAGTCAGAAACTTGCTTTCCTATTGGAATTTTTATATTTATGGTGAAGAGCCTACTTTGGAATAAGTTGGATAAACAGTTTCTATGGGGATCGATCGGGCCCCCAACCTCCTAAATGAGTTATGGTAAAGGCTTCAATAAAAGGTATGGGTTTGGGAATCCAGGAAAGTCAGAACTCTGTGGGAGTAAAAATAAGAGCTTCTCCAGCACCTCACATTTATTTGGTTTTCAAACAAAGTAAAGAGATACTGAGGCAAGGTGGGAACGGAGCAGGACCTTGGGAAGTTAGCTCAAACACTTCTCCGAGGGGCTGGGGGTTTAGCTCAGCGGCATAAGCGCCTGCCTTACAAGCAGGCAGTCGTGAGTTCGATCCCTGGTACCGATAAAAAACAAAAAAGACCAAAAAAAAAGTAAAAAAAAAAAAAAAAAAACACTTCTCCGAGCAATAATTGTTGCCAGTTAAGAGAACTGTCTTATTTCTAGATTGGCATTTACAGCAAGCACCAAACGGCTACAGCTGAAGTCTTTATCTTATAAGTTGGGGTCCGAGCCCAGGGTCCTAGGCTGCAGCTTGTCCTGCCCTTTGAGATGTCACAGCACCACAGGCCACTGCAGGCCTCCACCGTGACCAGTGGTGTGGAGAGATTCACTCACTGCCAGCTACCACTTTCTGAGCAAGCCACCCAGGCCTGGGACAGACCTATAATAAATATGAAAAGCCAATTAATTTAACATTAATCATTTAAAGTCCTGCTAATAGCCACTTCGTAGTGGCCTCCATCAAATCTTAGGAGTTCAGTAAAGCTGTGGTCTACAATCAGAATCTATCTTCTCTGCTTTATTAATGGAGGGCACGAACATCAGGTGTGAAATGTAGAGGAGTATGAAAGTCATTGAAAATGGTAAATAGGCAAAAACCTCTCGTGTTTATTTTTCTTGTATGTTATAGTGTCGACCAGTATTTTCCTAATGGAAGGCTCCTATTTAAATACTATCATGTCTAGTATATTTCAGTTAAAATAGGAAATTGTTCACTTTCCAAGGTGGTTTTAGATTTACTATGGTGTCCTCCGTGGAAACAGGTCACAATCTGGACAAGCATGTGGGACTCAGTGCCTTTTAAATGTAGGTCACTAAGAAGGCTGCAGTGATCCAGGCGTGGTGGTGCGTACTTGTAACCCTGGCACTTGAGAAGCTGAGGCATAAGGATCATTGCAAATCTGAAACCAGCCTGGGCTACAAAGTGAGCTCAAGGCCAGCCCAAAATGCATAGCAACACTCTGTATCAAAAATAAAACAAGAAGGGTGTAATGGTGCACACCTATAATCCCAGCAGGGCAATTTGGTGAAACCCATTCTCAACATTTAATTAATTAATTAAATAGTCTAATTTTGGTTTTTTGAGAGTGTCACCCTGTGTGGTTCAGATTGGTTTTTTTTTTTTTTTTTTTTTTTTTTTTTTTTTTTGTCTTTTTCGTTTTTATCGGTACCGGGGATCAAACTCACGACTGCCTGCTTGCAAGGCAGGCGCTTATGCCGCTGAGCTAAATCCCCAGCCCCTCGGATTGGTTTTGAATGCACTATATAGCCCAGGTTGGACTCAAACTCAGTGTGATCTTTCTGCCTCAGCCTCCTGAGTGCCAGGATCATAGTGTGAACTACCATATACAAGCTTAAAATTTAAAAGAATATTAAAGGGCTGGAGACGTAGCTGGGTGCAAAGCTAAAATAATGAATTAATTGTATGACAAAAATTAATTAATTGTAGATCATATGAAAGGGTCTCCTGTTTGTCTTAGTTTTGGAAAATTTTAATTCATCAGCACGGGCGGCACCAAGTATAAAGTTGCATTGAATCTTTTTTCCCAAATCTATTTTATTTCAAGGATAAAAAGAAGCAGAGACTGGGAATTTAGCTCAGTGGCTTAAGTGCCTGCCTGGCAAGCGTGAGGTTGTGAGTTTGATCCCTGGTACAAAAAAAAAAAAAAAAAAAAAAAAAAAGCAGCAGCAGCAGAAGAAGAGAAGGACAAGGAAGGAAAAAACTACAATAAAATTTCAAAACATGTCAACCAGGGGACAACAATGCACATTATTGCACATCGTTATCCTCAAATCATTCACCCAGAGCACAACAGAATCTGCACTTGATTGTCTGAACAATACCAGCACAAATCTTTCTCTTCAGTGAACTCAGAGAAATTAGTAAACTATTTTAACTACTTTTTAATATATGTATACATACATATACGTGTTTTTTCTTTCAGCTTCTCACTAATGAAACAATACGATGGCCTACACAAATGTCTAATTTATTCCACTAATGAGTATGTTCTCAAATTGCATCCATTTACCTATAAAGATCTCCAGTTTATCCTTTATGGCTGAGTAGTACTCCCTTGTATAAAAACACCACATCTTTTTTATCCATTCCTCAGTCACTAGGCATTTAGGTTGCTTCCAAGATCTGGCGATTAGCAAATCATGCTACTATAAACATGAGTGCACATATATCACTGTGGTATGATGTTTTAAATTCTTTTGAGAAGACACCCAGAAGGGGAATAGCTGGGACAAATGGTAATTCTAGTCCTAGTTTTTTGAGGAATCTCTACTCTGATTGCACCAGTCTACACTCCCACCAACAGTGGAGAAGGGTTCCTTTTTCCCCACAGCCCTTCCAGCATTTGTTATTGGTTGATTTCTTAATAGTAACCATTCTTTCTGGTGTGAGGTGGAATCTCAGCGCTGTTTTAATTTGCATTTCTTGAGTGACCAGTGGTGGTGAACATTTTTTCACATATTTATTTGCTGTCTGTATATCTTCATCTGAGAATTACCTATTCATCTCAGAGGCCCATTTTTGGATCAGATCTTTAAATCTTTTTGTTGTTGTTGTTCTTTATATGGTCTCAGTAGCCTTTGTCTGAGGAACAGCTGGCAAACATTTTCTCCCACATTGTGGGTTGTCTCTCTACTCTGTTGGTGATTTCTCTTGCTGTGTGCAAAAGCTTTTCAGTGGGGTGAGATCTCAGTTATTTTTTTTAAGTCATCATCTTTGTACCAGGGATTGAACTCATGACCTTGCCTTTGCCAGGCAGGTGCTTATGCTGCTGAGCTAAATCCCCAGCCCAAGATCCCAGTTATTGATTCTTTGTGACAGTTCCTGTGCAGTCTGGATTTTGTTCATAGTCTTTGCCTACACCAATGTCTTCAAGAGTTTTATCTACTTTATATTCCAGTAGAGTTAATGTTTCTGTTTCGATATTAAAATCTTTGATCCATTCTGATTTTAGCTTAGTACATGGTAAAAGATATGGGTCCAGTTTTAATCTTTGGCATATGTAAAGCCAGTTTTTCCAGCCCCATTTATTAAAGAGGCTGTCTTTCTTCCAGTGAATGTGTTTGGCAGCTTTGTCAAAGATAACATGGGTTAGTGTGTCTGGAGTTGTTTCTGCATCTTCTAATCTGTTCCATTGATCTTCAGGTCTGGTTTTTTTTTTCCCCCAGTATCACACAATTTTTGTCATAGTAGCTTTAGAGCATAATTTTGAGTCAGGAATTATGATGACCCCTGTCTTGTCTTTGATGCCCAGGATTGCCTTTGCTATTCTAAGTTGCTTCTGCTTCCAGATAAACTTTAGGATTGTTTTCATTAATTCTGTGAGCTATGCTATTGGAATTTTGATTGGGATTGCACTGAATCTGTGTAAGTTTTGGAATTATGGCCATTTTCTCTATATTGGTTCTCCCTACCCAAGAGCACGGAATATCTTCCCATTTCTAATACCTCTTCAATCTCCTTTTTCAGAGTACTGTAGTTTTCAATGTAGAGGTCTTTTATATCCTATGTTAGATTGATTTCTAGGTATTTCATTTTTTGGATGCTATTTTAAAAAGTGTTGTTTCCTTGATTTCTCTCTCAGTGAGTTTGTTATTTTATAGGAAGGCTATTGATGTTTGGGTGTTGACTTTATTTCCAGCTATGTTAATGAATTTGTTTATTAAATCTAGTAGCCTTTTGGTGGAGTGTTTTGGGATCTTCTATGTAGGATATCATGTCCTCTGCAAATAATGATAGTTTAACTTCTTCCTTTCCTATCTTTATTCCTTTCTCTTGTCTAATTGCTCCAGCTAAAGTTTCCAAGACTATGTTGAATAATTGTGAAGACAGTGGACATCCATGTTTTGTTCCTGATTTTAGAGTGAAAGCTTTCAGTTTTTGTCCATTTAGTCTGATGATGGCTGTTGGTTTGTTATAGATGGCCTTTATCAGATTGAGATAAAAACCATCTATTCTGGTTTTCTGTAGGATTTTTATTATGAATGAGTGCTGCATTTTGTTGAAAGATTTTTCTGCTTCTATTGAGATGATCGTATGATTTTTGTTTTTGGCTCTGTTAATGTGTATTAAATTTATGGATTTATGTATGCTGAACCATCCCTGCATCCCTGGGATGAATCCCACTGGATCATGGTATTTAATCTTCTTGACAATTTGCTGCAGTCTGTTTGCCAGCATCTTATGGAGGATTTTTGCATCGATGTTCATTAGGGAGGTGGCCTGAAATTCTCTTTCTTAGATGGGTCCTCCTCTGGTTTTAGAATCAGAGTGATGCTTGCTTCCAGAAACAAATTTGGAAGTACTACTTCCCTTTCAATTTCATTAAAGAGTTTGAGAAGTAGTGGTGTTAGGTCTTGTCTAAGTTTCTTGTAGAATTCAGCAGTAAATCCACCAGGGCCTGGGCTTTTCTTTGTCGGCAGGTTTTTAATTACATTTTTAATTTCCTTTATTAATATTAGGTTATTTAGGATTTTTATATCTTCTTGATTCAGCTTTGGTAATTCATATATATGTAGGAATCTGTCCATTTTTTCTGTATTTTCCATCTTATTAGAATACAAGTTTTAGGTATAGATGATCTTCTGGATTTCTGCAGAGTGCTGTGATTTCACCCTCTTCATTCCTAATTGT